AACGCGCTGGCCCGGCTGCGCGCCCGCCTCGACGCCGCCCGCCTCGACGTGCAGCGGCAGGTAGGGGGGCACCCACGGCACTCCCCGCCGCGGGAAGGGGGCAGCACCSCCATCTCGGTGAGGGCCCTTTGGGTGCCCCCAGGCTGGGCGGGGATGTGAAGCTCTCCCATGYGCTTGGGAAGCGCTGCCAGCAACTGTACGTGGGAGGGCGTCACTGCAGGAGCCCCCATGGGAGGTGTGGGGCAGGCCAGGCTCCYGTGGGACTGGTGGCCCCGTGACCGSGGCKGCCTCCTGCTCTGCCCCAGGAGTCMCACTGGACCCACGTCCAGACCACGGCTGCGCAGAAGACGCTGCTGCTGGGGCAGATCCGCATGGCAGTGCTCAACCTCTTCCAGCTGGCCACCAAGCAGCTCAAGGTCCCGGCCGATGCAGCCCTGGAGGACACAGAGGCCCAGCTGGACACGGTCAGCGGGATCCCTTCCCTGGGCACCTGGGTGGGAATGGGGACGCTCGTGTCCCTGGCCGGGCTGGCGCTAAGGACCCCGTCTCTGCAGGTGCTGCTCTGCATGCAGGACCTGGCTGCCATCCGGGCAGAGCTGTGTCCTGGGGAGCCGGCCGCTGCCAGCAAGCGCCTGCCCCCTGCTTCCAGCCGGGAATAACCCCTGCTGGGAGAGCACCGGCCTGTCCCAGCTGCTGGGGACAGGCCCAGCCCTCAGCCTGGCCAGGACATCCAGCAAATGCCTGGGGACCAAGTTTGCTCCCCCTCTCCAGTATGTCTGGGTTGCCCTCCATGCTGACCTGTGACGGAGATGGCAGCAGGGCAGGTGGCTTTTGTGCACCATGATGGCATGGATTTGGGTCAGGGGCCTGGCAGGAGGAGACCTGAAATGGGTGCTGCAGAGGCAGCAAGAAGTGGGGCTGCGAGGAGAGAGAGCTGCCACTCACGGTGATGTTCCTGGTATCACCTGAAGCTGTTAAAATACAACCCAGTTGCTCGGCCTGCTTGTTTTACGAATGCACCCTGGGGTGCCCTGAGGCRGGAGGAATCCCCCCCAGCACCAAGAGCAGCAGGGCAGGCTCTGCTGCAGCTCCTGCCCAGGAGCAGCTCTGGTGCCAGCACAGTCCTGTGTTGAAGTGTATGGCGTGGAAGGGGCACCAGGCCGTGCTGGGGGGAGGCAGGAGCTAGCGCAGACTGAGGGTAGGCAGGGAAAGGGCCTGGCAGGGTGGCGTGGTTGGGATGCCACAGCTGACGTGCCCAAAGCCAGGCTGGGACTGGTCTTAAAGCTGGGCGTGCGATTTCCCCTTCCTGCCCGTCCCCCAGAGTCGGCACCCAGGTCTGCTACTCCTCAGCAAGGTGCTTGGGACCAAAGCAGGCCAAAGAGGAGGCAACATCAAAACCCRCCTCATCTTTAATGTCCCCTTTCCTGACATCAAGTCCAAAGCGAGGGAAGCCTCTGCCTTGGCACCGCAGTGCTGGGCAAGGCCCCGTCTCCTACACCCTTTTCCGGAGCTTGCCCTTCTTGGCGGCGCCGGCGCGGCGCCCGAACGCCATTTGCCGCAGCTCCTGCACCCGCTGCCGGTTCCTGGCCTTGAGGCGCTTGAGGCCGCCGCGCTGCAGGAAACGCTGCTTGGCCGCCGCCTTGCGCTGCTTCAAGATCTGCTGCTTGTTCTTCAGCTCCGAGCGCACCTTGCGCTGGCCCGGGGCAGCCCGCGGCCCTGCGGCAGTGACGGAGAGTCGGGTTCAGAGAGGGATTGGGAGCTGGGGAGCACCGCGAGGTACCTGGGACGCACAGGGGGGGCTTTGGGGCCCCACCAGTTGTTCGGATACTCACCGTGCCCTCGCCTGTGCTTTCCTCGGACCTGCTCCCCTCTTCTTCCTTCTTCCTCTTCCTCATCCCGCTCATCAACCTTGTATTTCTGTTTCCACTTTTCATAGCTGGGCCGGGGTGTTAAGGAAAGCTGTGGTGACTCTGCATTGCGTGACCCCCAGCAGTGTCTAACGGCAGCCTCCCTGCTGAGGCCAAGGCCCTGGTGCTGGCCAGGACGTGGGGCAGGTGGGGTATGTGCCCTGGGCCTGGCACCACACACGGTCTTGGGTGCAGGACGCGAGGCCCAGCGGCTGCCCCTGGCCTCTGTGCTCGCCCTCGGCCCCGGGCCTCCTGCTGCGGCACACGGGCAGGGGGGCAGGATACAGGTTGTTCTTGTAGGAGCTGCTGATGTAGCGCCCGCTTTCCGTTCGCACCTTCTTCTTGTCCTCCTGGCCTGTTTGCCCCACAAATCGCTTCTTCTTGCGGTCCCTGCGAAGGAGGGAAAGGTGGTGGGACTAGGAAGAGACTGGGAACCTCTTGTAGATGGGGCCCCTACTGTCCCCCCCACCCCTGGTCCTCACCCCTGGGTCTCTCAGCTCCAACTGCCCCCATGAGCCACCCAGAAAGAGAAGGTGTCTTCAGAGAGAGGGCAGGTCCTGCAGGTCCCTGACGTGCCCTGCCCCGGCCAGGCCCCGCTCACCACTTCAGCAGCTGCTTGCTCTTGTTGAGGTTGTGGTTTTCGTCGCCCATGAGGTCCAGGACGGCTCCGGCTGCCTGCTGCTCGAAGGGGCTGCCCTCGCCGCCCACGCTCAGCCTGCGGGAGGGCAGAAGGAGGGCAGCAGCTCCACGAGGCTCCTGCAGGACGGGGCAGGACGCGGCGGAGCCCCTCGCCCACTCACCCTCGCTCGCTCTCGAAGTCCTTGGGCCGGTACGGGATGTAGAAGTCCTCGTCCCGGTGTGTCGGCTGCTGCGGCTTCTTCCTAGGGCCGTTTTCTCCCTCCCGGCCCCGTTTCCGCTTTCTGCCCACCACGGTGGAGAACACGTCCTGGAGCAGAAAGTAGAGGTGCCATGTCCCTCCGCTTGCAGGAACCTGGCGCCCAGCTCTCCCACAAGCCGTGGTGCCAGTTTTAAAGCCCCAGCCCAGCACGGGGGCTAGTGAGCAGTCAAGTGATARCAGCTGTGGGGCAATTCCACAACTGCAGCAATCCGTGTTCCCTGCCTCCTTACCTGGAGGTTTTCCTCCTCTCCCTCCTTCTCCTCAGCCCCTGGGGGCACTGGAAGCAGCCCYGGCCCCTTGAGAGCGGCCGCTCGCTTCTCCTGCTGCCCACGCTGGTACTTCTCAATGAGGACGCGGTCCCGGAGCCGCTTCGAGCGCATCACGGTGCTGGCCAACGTCCGCGCTGTAGCGTTGATCTCGAAGATGGTCTGGCCCCGGCGTGGGGAGAGAGAGCAAGGACGTGAACCCTGGCAGCTGCATTTCACTGCGACGCTGGCCAGATGGATGGACCTTCTCCCCAGTTTCTTTTCCCTCTGATTCCCATCCTAATCCCGGGAGCCAGAATAGCAGGGCCTAAGACCTGAGCAACGACCTGCCAYGTGTGGCTTGTACCCAACAATCACAGAGAGGAAGCCAGGAAGCTCCAAGGGGGATCAGGGRTAGGAGTCCCCAAGATGCCTGGGTTAGCAGGGCGCACAGAATGGCATCAACTCACCGCCTTCGACTTGTAGGTTTTGATGCTATCCACCAACTTCAGCCTCTCCAGTTCGGTGTCCTCGAAGCGAGCGCCTGGGTGCCATGGGGTACACGTGAGCTCCCCCACAGCAAGGACGGGGCGCCCCTCCCTTGGCACCCCCAAAGCACTCACTGAAGAGCGGGTGGATGCCCAGCTGGGACACGTCCAGGTCCTTGGCCCTCTTGATGGACTCGTGCGCGGGCCCGGGCCGGGAGCGCACGTACTGCTTGTGAGCGTTGGCGGCGACGCGCCGCAGGCTCTGCAGCTCCAGCGAGCCCGCGTGGTCCGTGAGCAGCAGACACTCCTCGTCGTCCACCAGGCTCTGCGGCACGCGGCCCAGCACCCCGTCGGCATCTGCGGCCCAGGACAGTGTCACCTCCGGCGCCCCTGGGCCCCCGTTTGGCTGTGGTGAGCGGTGCCCACAAACCACCCCCATGGCAGTGCCTGGTCTGTCTTACCAGCGGGCATCTCCTGGGCACCGGCGAGGACGAGCGGGCGCCCCAGGAAGAGGTGGAGGTCGAAGACGTAGGGCATCTCATCGGGAGCCACCAGGGAGTAGGCAGTGCCGCTCCGGCCAGCTCGGGCCACGCGACCTGACAGCAGGGAGAGGAGAGTGGGAAACTGGTCCCAGTGCCAGCTCAGCGTGCCAGGGAGCTGCCCGTSTCTCACGGAGCCAGTTCCTAGGCTGGCCTGTGGTGTTTGTGGGGTGGGCATTTCTGASAAGAGGGCAAAGATGAGCCTATGTYTGTGCCATGGGGCTGCCCCAAGCTGGTCCCTGCAGGTAGGGGAGCCACATGTCAGGAAGGGAAGGCTCCTTCCTCTGCCCTGAGGAGCCCTCACAGCTAGAGCTCAGGCAGCCACTTGCTTCCAGGATATTCCCTGCAGGGCACAGGGAGGTTCCTTGGGCAGTGGGGTCCCTCTGTGCCGCTGCCCTCCCGAGGGGCTGCAAGGAGCCCTAGAGCGGGCACTCACCAACACGATGCAGGAAGAGCTTGCCCTTGGCGGGAAAGCTGTAGTTGATGACGTTGTCCAGCATGGGGATGTCCAGCCCGCGGGCGGCCACGTCCGTAACCAGCAGCACCGGGCACTTGCCGTGGGAGAACTTGGCGATGTTGATCTTGCGGGCGGTTTGATCCAGGGAGCTGTAGATGTGTGTGCASTGGATACCCTGCGCAGTCAGCAACTGGACAGGGAGAAAGAGCGATCAGATCCTACCTAGGAAAGCACCCTCAGCCAAGAGAGAGGGTCCCCCAGGGCCCCGAGACCCTAGGGTGCCTCCTCAACCCCACTGGGCACCTCGAAATGCTACTTGCCTCTTTGAGATACTCTGTGTGGTGCTTGGTGGCCACAAAGACGACTGTCTGGTCTTGGGGCTTCACCACGTTTCTGAGCAGGTGGAGCAGCACGGCTGGTTTGTCGTCCTCGCGCACGTGGAAGAAAGCCAGCTGCAAACAGAGGGCTCAGCCACCTCCTGGGCCTCCAGGACCCCCATGCTCYTGGGGACACCCCCAGCTACCTGTCCCCTCCCCACATCCTTCCTCCACCGGCTGCTTTAACACACAACACTAGGTGAAAGTAAACAGGCCGGCAAGGTTGGGGTCTTCTCAGCCCTGCACAGTTACAGCTGATATCCCAGCCCCAGTGTGTTAAATCTTCTGCCCCACTTTATGTTTAACTCGCAGCGTGGCTGTGCGTGGGTTGGGGACGGCTCACGTGCCACCCCGACCGCTTGCCAGCGCAAGCACTGTGATGCAGGAGGGACCCACAGCCATGCCCAGCTGCCAGCAGGACAGCTCCTGCACCAGACACCACCCCTGCTTCCTTGCAAGCCTTCTTGTCACCACAGGGCCTCTGCTGGCCCTGCCTGCAGGAGGTGCAGGGCACCCTAATGGCAGAGGGACATGCACAGGGTGACCGACCCCTGGTATCCTGAGCCCCTTCCGTCCTTCTCACCTTGAGCTGCTCGCTGAGCTTGGACTCCACATCCAGGCGGATCAGCATGGGCTCCGTGAGTCCTGTGGGATGCAAGTCCCACACAGGACATGGTCACACACTGCTGATCTTAACCTGGCTGCCCCAGTCCAACCCCCGCAGGTCYCTTTCCACCCCCTGGTCCTCACCAGCCCGAGCAAACTCCACGAGCAGCTTGGGCAGCGTGGCCGAGAAGAGGACAGTCTGGTGGCTCTCTGGGAGCCGAGCGATGATCTCCTGGAGTTGCTCCGCAAAGCCCATCTCGAAGAGCCTGCAGCACATGGGACAGAGGACGTCCGAGAGGGGATCCCACCACATCCCCTGCCACCCGCCACCGCCCAGCCAAGGCTGCTCCTTCCCTCCCACCCCCAGCACGGGCTCATCCCTCGCTCCAAACACGGACACGCAGCTCCCCTTCGCGTCCACAGCCCAGCCACCCTCCTCCCAYGCTCGCTGACCTGTCGGCCTCGTCGAACACCACGTACTCCACGCTCTGCAGCTTCAGGTTCATTTCCACCGCCACGTGCATCAGGCGCCCCGGGGTGGCGATGATTCTGCAGGGCAGAGAGCCCACGATGCTCAGCCAGTGACCCCAGGGAGGGGTCTCTCCGGTGTCCCCAGTGTCCCRTGCATGCAGCACCAAAACGGGACGGGTCTCCCCCACCTTCATGGGTGCCAGAGCTCAAGTTCGGCTCAAAGAAGACCTGGCAGAGGCTCCCCGGTCCCACAGAGGGAGCACAGTGAGATGTTCTGAAGGAAGCCTGGGACATGTCCATTGGACACAGCTTGAACCCCATGACCACCCTAGGCACCTCCTGCATGATGCCAGTGCCCGGGTGGCACAGAGGAAGAGGAGGAATTCAGCTTGTGTTTGGACAGCTCTGGAAGCAGGGCCAGGCAATTCATGGGGCTGGAGCCAGAACCTGCTGGGCCTACAGCGGGCCAGCAGCAGCAGCGTGGTGGCAACCCGAGGGAGATGATGGGTGTCCTGGGGCCTTTCCAGCYGCAGGAGCCGGTCCCAGGGTCACCCCAGCAGGGCGCACGCCCGGCGATGCTCGTCACCCGTGTCCTCCCCACGGCAGCCCTGCCAGCCCCCCTGCACTCACATGTCRGGGTTCTCGTGCAGCGCAGCAAACTGGTCCTCCATCCTGCAAGAGAGCAGCGAGCCTGAGACGGGGCCGGGCAGCAGAGGGGCCGATCAGCCCTCGGCCTTGGGGACACGCTGGGGACGCTGCGACGGGCCGAGCACCTGCACAGCGCGAGGGGGAACGGTGGTGACGACACTGGGGGTGACTTACTTGTCTCCTCCCAGCACAAGGGCCGTCTTCAAGCCTGTGAATTTGCCCAGCTGCAAGGAAAGGGAGCAACACGAGGSGGTTACAAGCAGACTGGGCACCAACCCGAGTCCCCGCGCTGCTGCCCGGGCTGGGGACGCGCCACAGCGGGCAGGGGCACCGTGAGGGCACCGGCTGAGGGCACCTTCCTCCTGCCCGCCCTCCCTTGGGAGACTGAGTCCGGGTGGGCCACGTGCGGAGCCACAAGTTGTATGTGGGCACCGCAGCGGCGTCCCCAAGAGGACAGCGCCCGCTCATCAGTGTCACCAACGGGCAACGACGGCCTTCCCTTCCTTCCTGTGGCAGGAGTCCTCTGGCCTCAAGAGCCCCCCCAGAGAGTCATGGAGCCCCCCCGGAGCCCCCACAAGTTCACGGCGTCGCTCGCGCTGCCCCCCTGCCCTCGGCGCGGGCGCTGCCGCTACCTCCTTGGTGAACTTCAAGGTCTGCAGGGCCAGCTCGCGCGTGGGCGAGAGGACGAGGGCCCGCGCGCCCGCCTGCGCGCTGGGCGCCTTGAGCTTCTCGAACATGGGGATGAGGAAACAGGCCGTCTTGCCGCTGCCCGTGCGCGCCATCGCCACCACGTCCTTGCCGCCCAGGATCACCGGGATGGTCTGCAAGACAGAGCCCACTCGCATGGTCCTCCGCGGCCGCCGGCCGGCGCCCCGTGTCCCGCGGGGCTCTCACCTTCCTCTGGATGGGCGTGGGCACCTTGTAGCCCTTCTTCATGATCCCTTTGAAGACGGGGTAGCTCAGGCCTGCGGGACACACGGGTCAGGCCACGGAGGGGCACGGGCGGACGGAGCAGGCCCARCTCGGCCCCGCTCCCGGGCGGGAAACGGATCCAAGGATCCCTTTCCCAAGGATCCCGACGGATTCCAAGGATCCCCCGCCGCGGCCCTGCACACGCACCCATCGACTGGAAGCCCCCGGATTTCTTCTTCTTGTTCTGCGCCCGCACCAGCGCCTGGGTGTCCGGCTCGGCGGCGGCCTCCTCGGCGGCGGGAAAGGCCGGCAGCGCCGCGGCCTGCGGAGGGACACGCTGGGGACACCGCGGGGACGGCACGGGGAGCGGGGCACGGCGCACCGGCGGCTGGGACGGCGGGCGCGCAGCGGGCACTGGGGCTACCGGCAGYGGGGACACAGGGACYGGGCACTGGGGGACACTGGGCAATTGGGACATAGGGGTCACTGGGCACTGAGCGGACTGGGCACTGGGGGACACTGGGAACACTGGGCACTGGGGACACGGG